TTCCTGTCCTTTCTCTGCCACGTTTCCGGTTTTCCAGAGAGTAACGACCTACTCTCGTGCTTACAGCTTTTCCACGCAGGATTATGACGTTACTTGACAAGGAGACGTCCCAGATCCAATTACAATTGCGTATCGAGACGGATATACTCGCCAAAATAATAATCTCGGCATCGCGGCAGCTAGCGTCATAAATATCATACACTCGTTCCTCCACACAGGAATGAAAACGCGCAGGTTAACATCGTCCAATTACATAATCCCGCCCTCGTAATACGATCGATCAAATCCAGGCAATTAGCCCATTTCTTTCTCGCTTCCTGTCCGCTTTCCTGTTTGTCGAAAATGCGGTTCCCTTCCATTCAACGCGGGCTTCCTCCTTCTCACAATGGACGATACGTGAAAGGGAAGATTCGATGGCTCAAATGAGGATGCACCTTGAGCCGGCAGCTCGCGGTCACGATAATCCGCAACGATTATTTTTCGCGCCTCAGGCTGCGGCTTCTCACGGTCTCCCTTCCCCGTGAATGATCTTTTCATTATCGTATGTTCGCGTTTGCAGAACGAATATCGAGAAAGTGTCAAATTTATTCTGTATATATATATGTGCGTACCACTTTGATTATAGCAGAGATATTATTGATTACACTGGTCGACAAAATAAGATTTTATTTGGCCTTAAGATCTATCAAGTCATAGATTTTTTAGCGCTGATTACGAATCTGGTCGTAAAAATGGCGTATCATGTCAAGTTTTTGAAAAATCTCAGTCAAAGTTACTGAAATATTGATATTTTTGCGTGAGTTATATCTGTCGATGGGGACGTGCTCTAGAAAGCAACGACAGCTCAAAATAAAGCTCAAGACGTATACTTTATAATAAAAAAGCCAGAAGTCCAAGGCAAGAAAGGTTTTCCTGAAAAAAAGTGGTCGAAACATAAGAAATATCATTTATCGCGGTGTCCCCCAGTCATACGTCTCCAATTGTCCGTTATTAAAATACTAGTGCCAAAAGCTATTCTAATTTTGTTCTTAAATGATAGCGACCACAAAAATCTACCTACATACCTACTTCCATAATTTAAATAATTTTTCAAAAATTTGATCCGCCATTTTTAACTTTGAAATTTTAACACGTGATTCGTGATTAATGACCAGGCAAATGTATACATATCGACTTTCATAATTAGAATGATTTAAAAAAAAAAATGTAGCAACTGACAATTGGAGAGACGTATGACGGGGGCGACACTGCGATAGATTTTTCTTATACTTCGACCACTTTTTTCCAGGAAAACTTTTTTTACCTGGGACTTTTGGCATTTTTATTACAAAGTATAAGTCTTGAGCTTCATTTTCAGCTGTCGCTGCCTTCTGTAGCACGTCCCCATCGAAAGATATAATTCACGTAAGAGTCTATTTTAGCAACTTTGACTGAAGTTTTCTCAAAAAACTTGACGTGACACGCTATTTTTACGGCCAGATTCGTAAAGCGCGCTAAAAAATCTATCAGAAATGACTTGATAGAACTTAAGGCAAATTTAGTGTTGAACAATGTTATCTGAGCAAACTGCCGCAATTTCTTCGTTTCTTCGCCGGGTTAATGTTTGCCGTTGTAAGTAATCATATTGACCCCCTCGACGAAGTGTGCACGCCGCGATTCAATTGTTGTGGTTTCACTCAATTATTACGACGGATGGATCGAGACAAAAGAAATCCTCCTCAAGTGGGCTTCCTGAATCGCGATCTACCACCTAAAGGGAGCCGTAAACAAAGGCGACCGGCAAACAATGCCAGCTACAAGAGCAAACACGACATCCGCCTTTCACAGAGCGCCGCGCATAAAACTGAAGTGCAAGGTACAAGTTCACAAGAGAAAAGAGACAGCTTCTCTCTCTCTCTCTCTCTCTCTTCCACCCTCCCTCCCCTC